GTCTCACAACAGCCATTAGTAGTCACACCCTCATTGGTAGTCTTATCACAAAAGCAAAGGCCTGTAGGACTCGGAGCGTGGAGATCTGTTGGAAGAAACCCAGACCTCCCTGAGAAAGTGAATAGTTTTTCAACAACTGAATCACATTTAGGGGATGGGGGGAGAAGGGCGTGTGCTATTTTTGAGTTTTGGGAGTGAAAGAAAATTCTTCTTATAAACCAGTTACAATTAAGCCTTCCCAAAGAAATGCCTACACACACACACAATCCGTATGGAAAAATACAACTGTAACATGAGTTTTGGTATTATTTCTGTGGAAAACAGATCTTCCTGATCCCCCAAAAGGGGTGAAATACAATGCTATCCTGTAATAGGCAATACACTTACAAATGAGAACCTTATTGATGTATCTTTTGCCTTCAGTTTCTTATGTAAATGCCCAAAGATATCTTATAATTCAGGCAAGAGCTTTGTGGTTTGGGTTGCTGCAGCCAGATTGTATTTATGAAGGATAAAGCCACCATGTAAAACTTTGAGTGCCTATTGGAAACCTACAGATTATCCTTTTCTTCTATTGCTTAATTACCAGATAAATTTGTCATTCTTGTATTTTAAAGTTATTTTTGTTTAGTCATTTCTCTGTATTGAGGCAAGCTTTTGTGCTGTTCCTGTGCAAATTTAGGTTAAAACACTGCTGATGAAAGATGTCTTAAAAGAGAAAATACTATTGGTAGCATTTATGCTTAAATTTATGACCTACTGCTAACAGGTGGAGCTGCTGTCAAAACTGTGGTACATTAGCACAAGTATCTGATAATGAAGGATGGCATTCATTTGATCTTGTTTCGGATTGAACAACTGCACAGTTGATCAGCTTCCCTTAGTGTTTTATTTGTGTAACAATTTTCAAATCTAATCTATGTCTGAATAGATTACTTTAAAAACACAAGTGTTAAATAAATGACAGGTCAATTCCAGCAAGTCTCATTTTGGTGACTCTCTAAAACAGGAAATTTTGTGGCAACATCTGGGAGATTTAAAATAAAATATTTTGATTGCATTACCTATTACATTAAATAATACAGTATTGTTAATTGATACTCATTTTCTCTGGGCTCTCAAGTTTTCAATGTACTGTAACGTTTATACTATACAAATTAATTTATATAAATTGTTTTGGAAAGGGATGTTGAAAGAAACTTCAAGTTTTGGCAGCTAGATTGGGGGACATTTAGGGTTTCTGGAGTCTGGGAAGGTGTGTCAAGACAGTTTGGGATTGTGGGATAAGCATATTAGCAGCATGTTCCTGATTAAGTGGTCATCAGTGAAATAGCTAATGATCACCAAAATGTTAGTGATAGATTTCAGAGTCAGTATGATTTCGAAGAGAATGGGGAAGTCTGCATTTCTCAGAATTATTGTCTTAGGCCTGGTCTACACTACAGAGTTAGGTTGAAGGAAGCCGCCTTAAATTGACCTGTTAATGTATATGTCTACACTACTGGGTCCTTTATGCTGACCTAAATTGCCTCTAATGTCAACTTCTGTAATCGACCTCCGCGAGAGGCGCAGCGCTTAATTTGATTTTCATGGGTCGACTGTGAAGTAGTGCAGACGCAGCGTTGGGTAATTCGACTTAATTGGCCTCCAGGTGGTGTCCCACAATGCTCATCTGTGACCGCTCTGTAGATCATTCTCTACTCTGCTGCACTACAGCCAGGTACACAGGAAACAGCCCCTCCCCTGCTAAAGCCCCAGGAATTTTTGATTTCCCATTTCCTGTTTGATCAGCATTGGGAGCGTGCTGGCTTGAGCACAGCTGATCATGGAGACTACACATCCCAAACGCACCCCAGCCTGGTCTGCACAGGAGGTGGTGGATCTCATCGCTGTGT